ACAAATCCATAATGCTCCTAGTAAAGCTGGGGGTATTTGTTCCTGGCCGGCTGCAGTCTCTGGAGAAGCTTGTAATTCGCAGTGGATGTGGACAGCCAAAAGTAACAACCGTGCCTGTGCCCCACATGCACCTCTTTTGCTGTATTGTCCCTCAGGTGAGGATACTAGAAACAAACAACAGGTGCATGACAAGCTCGCTACTCACATACCTTTCCTGGCATGAAAGCTGTGGCAGCATTAGAGAGTTGACTGCTAATGATATGTGTCTAACTCTCCTGCAGGTCATTGATGTTCTACAAAAGTGCCCTGAACTAGAACATTTGGGCTGCGTCATGAACCAAGTAGATGGCGAGCTCAAGGGGATGGACATTAAGGGTATGATGGCAATGTTAGACCCGCCGTCGATTAGCCGTTGCAGCCAGCTCCAGGTACTGGATCTGCTGCCAGATGATAGGCCGGGCATTGCTACTGCACCAACAGCATTTTTGCTGCTGGCACGCATGCACCCAAAGCTGCAGACCATAAAGCTGCCGTATAGCGAGCTCAAAAAGGCCACCTATGTCTGTGATGGGGCGAATAGCCTAGTGCAGACAGAAGACGGCAATGAAGCCGCACCCTCAAGCATCAGGTTCAGCCTTTTGTGTGACGATGGCCGGTACGTTCTAGGAGTAAAGCGTAGCAGTCGGTGATTAGCTGTGCCTTGCCGATCAACGGATGCGTGTAGCCCAGCTTTGGCTTTCCTTTCCTCTCTTTATAGCAGCACTTTTTATCCTCTATTTCTGTCAATGCCGCAATGGAGACTCGGACAAAGCTGGGCGATTTTCCCTTCTTGACCCGGGACGAATTCGAGCACTGCATAGAGCGTTTTCGGGCCCAGTACACGACAGCCAATAGCCGGCTAGATATTGGCACAGCTAGCGGGTCGTTTGGCAGACAATACCTGACTATCGGACAAACGCTGGCGCAGGCTGCTTGTGCTGAGCGCAGTATAGACATCGATATCGACGAGGTTGGTGGTAGTTTGGAGGACCCTGATCCACTGGAGCAGCACAGGCAGAGAGACGGCCATAGTTTTAGAGCCCAGGGGCTGGTCGTCGAGTACCATGTCGTGTTCTCGCGCTCGTGGCGGGTGCCGGTTGTGTATGTACGTGTGCTGAATGAGGCGCAGGAGACTGTGCTGGACGTGGGGCGCGTATACGATCTGCTAGTTGGAGGCGACCCGGTGATGCGCGAAGCAATGCAGTCGGTGGAGTTTGGCGGGGCGCTTGGGATACAGGACCATCCGGAGTTGGGCACACCCTACCTGTACCTCCACCCGTGCCATACAGCGACGCTGCTTCGGGCCGTGGCGGCGGCACCTGACGTGGAGATTGACAGCCGGAACTACCTGTCGGCGTTTTTAAGCCTGGTCGGACCGGCAGTGGGCCTGACTCTTCCCGCCATTGCCGATCCAGCCGCCGGCGGAGCAATAGCCAGGGCGTAGTTGAAAGGGGCCGCCTCCCCCCTCTTCCGGGCAGTACTGCCGTCCCGGAAATAGACGCCGGCTTGGTTGTTCTGGCTCGCAACTTTGTTGCTCATTCGATTGTTCTGGACCGGGTCCATTTATTTGTTTTGTTTTGTGCTGCTCAGACCTTGGAAGGCCCGGGCGTTTCATGTGCGGACGCAGGCAAGCCCCCGTTTGCCGGGGGGTGACGGCAAAAGTACCTTTCTTCATCTCCTGGTCCTCAGTCACGCCACCATTCTAGATATTTATTCCTACGGGGTGGACCTATGGCAAGCATATCTCTGTTGACGGCCGGGGCGCGGGAGGCAGGGCGGCGGTGTGTCGGGTTTCTGGTGCGGCGGATCCGGCGGAACTGGTGGCTCGACAAGACGTGCATTTACTTTCTGACGGCGGTGGGACTGGTGTTTGGGCTGTCGTACTACTTTATGAATGTGATGGCCAATGTGGCATCGCAGCGGAGCAAGCTGATTGAGGATGCGCTGGGGACGCGGTATACGCTGCCGGACGTGTTTTTTGGGTTTATCGGGCTGGTGGAGCTGCTGTGGATGACGGACATGTTTGACGCGCTGATGTTTGTGCCGACCACGCTGCTGGTGCTGGCGCATGAGCGGCCGTGGCGGGTGGTTTCGCGGCTGGGGCTGGCGTGGGGGCTGGCGTCGCTGATTCGGATAACGACAGTGGCTATCACCAGCGTGCCGGACCCGCGGCCCAGCTGCGAGTACGCAAAGGGCAATGTGTTTACGACGTTTACGCTGCACCGGTGCGGAGACGCGATCTACTCGGGGCACACGCTGATATTTGTCGTGTGTGCAATGACGTGGACGTCGTTTTCGCCGCGCACGGTGGTGGGGCGGATCCTGACGCTGTGTGCGTGGTGTTTGTGTGGTGCAGGGTCGCTGGTGGTGATTGCCAACCGGGCGCACTACACAATCGACGTTTTGTTGGCGTGGTACATTGCGCCTGGAGCGTGGTACACGGTGGCGTGGTTCTGGTACTGGCATGTCACGAAGAAGGGGCGTCTTTTGCGGATCGAGTTCCCGGCCGAGGTGGGGCGGCATCGGGACAAGGACACGCCCGAGATGTGCCAGCGTCGGAGGGTCGAGTTGGGGTTGATGCGTGACGGCACGCCGTACGACCCGGTCGAGCTGTATCTCAACGCCATGGGTGGAGAGGCTGAGCTGGCGCCGCCAATGGACACGGAGAGCGAAGACATTGCCCTGCTGCGGCAGCAGACAGACGAGAAGGGGGTGGTGAGCAGCGACGACGGGCTGGGCAAGGACGAGAGCTGCGTCATCGCACTGGGCGACGACCTTGTCCGCGAGTTCGACGAGGACTTTGGGCCGCGGCCCGGCAGCCCGTCTCGGCGCGGCGGCCGATAATAGCCAATAGTGGGGGGCGCTGACGAATAAACAGGCCACCACATTTCGGGGGGGGGGAGCGCAACCTTACACTGGTCATTTTATTTGTGGTCTGATCCGGGTGGTCTGATCCGGGTGGTCTGATTTGGGTGGTCTGATCCGGGTGGTCTGATTTGGGTGGACCCAGGTCCTTTTATTCTTCTCTGGTAGATCTGCCCCTTTTTTCACGAGGAGGAAGCGCTGTTACTCTTTTTTTCCCTTTTTCACTGTGCAACCTTCCGCTTTCTTTTTTCACTCCTACCATTCTCTTTTTTTTGTATTGGAATGACGGTCTTGGACGAGAATGAAGACTGGCCGAGGCACGGAACCTACGAGTACTCGTCCTACGTGAGCAACACAGAGGCGGTAGTGTCGTTCGAGGGGTTCCGAAAGCAAGGCTTCGAGAGCTTTGACTTTGTGGTTATTGGGGCGGGGCCGATTGGAGCAGCACTGGCGTACAAGCTGTCGCAGGACTGGCCCACACGCCGGGTATTGATAGTGGAGAAGAGCTGGCAGGAGCCGGACCGTATAGTGGGGGAGCTTATGCAGCCGTCGGGGTGCGAGGCAATGGAGAAGTTGGGGCTGGGGGGAGTGTTTAGTGGGATTGGCGGGGTGGCAGCGCATGGGTACTATGTTAGCTACGGTGGGAGCAGCATTTATGTGCCGTATCCGCAGAAGAAGGAGGGGGGGAGATACTGCGGAGTGAGTTTTCATCATGGGCGGTTTGTGATGAATCTGCGGGCGGCGTGTAAGGCGCAGCGGAACATTACGTGTGTGGAGGGATCGGTGGAGGAGTTGTTGCGGCGGGCGGGGGTCGGTGGGCGGGTGTGGGGGGTGCGGGTGGGGCCGTCGCGGCGGGCGGCGGAGGGCGAGGGCGGCGTATTGGTGGAGGTGGGGGCGTCTGTTCTGACGTTTGTGTGTGACGGGATTACGTCGCAGTTTCGGAGGCAGTTAAACCCGGCGGCGGTGACGTTGATATCGCATTTCTGTGGATTGGTGTTGGAGCATGATCCGATCACGAGCCGTGAGTATTTTGGGGGACCGGCGGGGGCGACGACGCATGTTTGGCGGGCGGGGGCGGGCGGTGGGGGTAACGTGTTGCCTATGCCGCATAATGGGAATGTGTTGTTGGATGGGGTGGGGCCGGTGCTTTTATATCAGATGTCGGAGAGGGAGACGCGGGTGTTGGCGGATATTCCGGGGGAGCATCTTCCGTCGGAGGCGGGGGGGCGGTTGCGGGAGGTACTGCGTGAATCGTTGTCGAGGGCGGCGCCGAAGGATATGTATCCGGGGTTGCATGGGTTGTTGTTGGAGACGTTGGAGGGGGCGAAGCGGATTCGGTGTATTGGGAGTAAGTTTATTCCGGCGACGGCCAATTCGGTGGAGGGGGCGGTGTGGATTGGGGATGCGTTGAATGTGCGGCATCCGTTGACGGGGGGCGGGATGACGGTTGGGTTGTGGGATGTGGTAATCCTGACGGACAGCCTCAAAGCGCAGCGGGGTCTTTCCGTGGGGGAGATTGGGGTGGCCAAGGCAAAGTGGCAGTGGTCTCGGCGGCCGCGTGCGCTGGTGGTGAATGTGTTGTCGGTGGCCTTGTATTCGTTGTTTGCGGCGGAGACGAAGGAGCTGGGGCTTTTGCGGGAGGCGTGTTTCAATTACTTGGGTCGGGGTGGTAATTTTACCATGCATCCGTCGGGTTTTTTGTCGGGTTTGTTGCCGAGCCCATTGTTGTTGTTGGTTCATTTCTTTAGTGTGGCTTTTTTGGCTGTGTACTTGCGTGTCACGGGCAAGTCTACAGCCTACGCGGGTGGGTCCTTGTTGTTCCGTATTTACACGGCCTTTTATACGCTCTATGTCGCGGCTTGTGTCATTTTGCCGGTGGCTTGGAAGGAGTTGCAGCCATGAAAACCCCCCCTCTTTGGTAGTTTTTTTTTACGTCATAACCATAAAGAAATAAAAGTGGTAGTGTTTAGGTGTCTGACTAGAGTAAGGGAAAGCAGCAAAATGAGTGTTGTGGATTAGAAGCTAGGTCTATCGATCTCTCGCCCTGGAAGGGGGGGGGGGCAAAAAAAATAAGAAGGGCGAAAAGGCAAAATAGACGCCCTATGTGGGGTTCGAACCCACGACCGTTCGGTTAAAAGCCGAACGCTCTACCGGCTGAGCTAACAGGGCTCTTAATTGGTCCATGCAGAAATCTTGTTTTAAGAAAGATAAAGAACGTAGTTGAACCACTGCCTTTTGTTTCTATAGAAAGAAGCACGAGTCTAGAAAGCACAAAAGGGTCATAGCAGGACAAAAGTCGTACGATCTAGTGGTCACATGCTGTTGGGCAAAGGGAAGAGAGAAAAGTAATGGATTGACATGGCTGAGAAAGAGGGTGTAGATTATCTCGGTGGCAGCGGCAACAAGAGTAGATATGCAGTTTGACATATAGCAACCAAAGGAGAGGAAAAAGATGCACAACAAATGTGACATAAAAAAAGAAAGAAGAAACGACAACAAAAGGGAGGGGGGTGTTATTGCTGCTGTTGGGGTTCACCAACAGTGCATTCCATTTTCAAGTGAGTTCTCAATGAATCCTTGCGAGGGAAGCCTTGTGCACAACCAGGACAAATATGTTTGCCCGTACGTTGATGAAGTACAGCATGACGTTGAAGGTCATGTCGACGGGTAAAGGCCTTCGGACAACTATGACACTTGTATGGACGCGCCGCATTGGAATCTGGGAAATGCGTCAGGCGATGCGTCTTTAGGTTATACTGCCGCGCAAACGACCGCTCACAAATGTCACAGTTGAACCGCCGCTGCTGATCCCGCTTATGCGGTGGCTTGCCCGACAACCGTCGCCGCTTACCACCCCCCTCCTCCTCATCCTCCTCGCTATCCTCCCCCTCGCTATCCTCCTCATCGTCCGCCACGTGGTTCCCCACGTGGTTCGCCTGCGAGTTCACTAGGCTCGGCATCTGCGCAAATATCGCCCCCGGCACACTAGCCCCCGACTGCCGCGGCGACGGCACCGGATGCGTCCGAGCCATCGGCGATACCGGCGACAACCCCGGATACCGCACTACCGAAGCTGCCGGCGACACCGACCCCGCTATATCCCGCGACCCCGCTATATCCCGCGACGCCACCTGACCCCCCGCCGACCACGGCCCACTACGCACCCTTTGCTGTTGACCATTGTACTGCAACGGCCCCCCCGCTACACTGCTAGGCGGCAAGGTCATGACCGGCGAAAAATGCGTGCCCATCCGCGGTCCACTAAAAGGCACCCCCATACGCTGCAAACGCACCCCCTGCTGCGAAACTCCCAGGGCCCCATGCTGCTGCAACTCTTCCGAACACACCTCATCCAACGGCGCAAAGAAAGACTCATTCGCCTGCGGTACCAGGTCATTATGGAAGCTAGCGTTCGTCAACCCCGACGACTGACGCAACAAACTGCGGTTACGCGTCAACCGCCCCCCCGTCGCCGACAAGGTATGCAGGGGTGCTGACGACAGGGCCAGCCCCGCCGACCCATTCCCTGACTGCCCTTGCTGCTGCACAAATACCGATGACTGCGGCAACGTCCGAGGCGCAAGCGACCCCATTGCCCCCCGGTCCACCATGGGCGGCGAAAACGAATGTGCCAGGCTGTTGTGCGGCTGCGACATTAATGTCGGGTCCACACCCGCCTTATTCAAAAACGGTCCGTTGATGGGCTCCGTCGCCTGCGTGTCCCCCGAAGCAAGCTGCGGACTAGCCGTCGCACTAATGTCCATATGACACACAGAACTGTCACGATGCGCGTAAGTCGCCGACGCAGCCAACAAGGTCAACCCCGCCTGCGCCGTCTGCGTCCGCGGACTCAAGGCACTACCTATAGCCTCGGCATCATCAAACATTGGCAGCTCCGGCGTCTTCTCCTCCACCAACGAATCCGGCAACATACGGATCTCGGGCGTCGTAAACACCTCCGCCGGACTAAAGAACCCCGGCAACGGCTCATCCGCCGGCGACCTCGCCAATTCCGCAGCCACCACTCCGATAAGCGGCGTCCGCGCCGCCGCCCCACCCGCCGCCGGCGACGAAGTAACTATCAACGTCGGCGGTTGCTGCTGCTGAGTACGCTTCGGCACAGGCCCAAGGGCTGCCGGCGACGCCCTACTGGCCTCCACCGTAGCCGACCCAGCCCTCAGAAACGGACTACTGGTGCCACCCATAGCCAACATAAACTGAAGCGCGGCTGGTGATCCAAAATCATTCAACGGATCCGTGTTACGCGACAGAGCTGCTGACGCGCTGTGCGGCGCTACGGCCGTGGTCGGCGAGAGAAACTGTGCGCCAAGCCCCGCCGCAGCTGACCCCACAGGCAACGCCGCGGCCGCCGCCGCCGCCCGCCCATCCACCTGCGTTATAAACGGTGTCGTCGGCGCAGATGCAAACGAAAAGTTCATTTGCCTTCCTCCTTCTTTTGAGTACTCGGGGTTTCGTGTGGATAAAAGCTTCCTTTTTTCCCCTGTGGTGGACCCCCTTTTTTGCTGGCGTTAGAGGACCCCTGGGCAACCAAAAAGAGCTTCTTTTATAGCAGTGAAGCCTATCTCTTCCGTTGGTGGTAACGTGGAATGTAAATGCAGTGAATTGACAAGGACCGGAGGCTTGTTGGGCAGGGTAAATGGCGAGTTTCTTTGACGGGCCCCAGGAATTAGCCAAAAGGTTCAAGGAGGCTTCTCCCCAACCCCGTTTGCGTAATAAGAGAAGCCTGGAAGGGGCAGAGGACTAGGTAGTGAAGGGGTCCGAACTGAGCTTCTGGGGGGGGGGCCAAGAGATAAGAAGGTTTAGGTATATTGGTCAAAAAAAAAGAGCGCAGCCAGGGGGGAGAAAAGCCAGGCGTGTTGAGGAAGGAAAAAAAGGACGGAGGTGGCGCGGGCAGCCCTTCCCTCGTTGCTTTTATGCCCCCCCCCAACTTGCCTACAGCCCCCCCAGTCTCTTGCCCGCAAGCTGGCTGCGCCCGTCCCCGTCTCATGCGGGGGCCTGTCACGCCCCGCGGGATGTAGTCATCTCGGCTTTGTACCCACTCCCTTTAATGCCAAGGGCAGTCAACCACCCATCCGAAGCTTTGCCCCTTCCAGCACTCTTACAAACGACAGCTGTTGTGCGGAAGTCCTGCCTTCCCCCCGTGACAGGGGGCGTGGCACAGCTTTGCCTCCCGTCTTGTCCACCTTGCCTGGTTTTGTAAAAGGAGGGTTTCTTGGTGGAATGTAGAGGCAAGCCTAGCTTCCGCAGCATATCTGGGCCCTGGAAGTCGTATGTGCTGCGTCCAGTCCATGCGCCACACGCCCCCTATCTTGCTGCTTGCCCAGTGCTTTTTTTGTTTCCCATGGGCTGCGCAAAAAGTCATGGCTCTGCCTTGTCGTCTTGCACGAACACAGCAAAGGGTCCTCCTCCTCTCTAATCTGGCCAAGGTCCCTTCTGTAGTAAGCCTCATGCGTCAGAGTAGCCGGTTCTAAAAATAGACCTGCGTCCGATCGCATATGCATTTGTCTGCTGGCTGACAAACTCCCTGGGGAGGTTTTCAAAAAGAGGGTCCTATTACCTTGGCATGGCCCACAGGGTCCTCTTTTCCTACCGGGGGTATTAAGAGATAGACACTATGCGGGGGGGGGGGAGAAGGAGGACTGCCGGATTCCGCAGCCACCTCGGGCAACATATGTTCACCTCCCCCGCACATGCAAAAGGAGGGGGGGCACGTAACGAAACATTCTGGAATTCTTTAGTAGTCTCCGAATAATCTCTTTTTATTTGCTTTACAAAACTACTGCCAGTGTTGCCAGGCTCACCAGGGCAATTATGCCGAGCCATTCCACGTGCCGTGGGTGGGCCAGGAATGTGTGTGGGGAAGCAGTGCTTGGATGGTCTGGTAGGAGCGCAGGGGTGATGGTTGTGCACATGGCTGTCAGTGAGCAGTTGGCCAGGGTACTGGACGTGGCGCTGGTCAGCAGTGGGTCGGCTTTGATCGATGGCGAGGGCACAGAGGCGTCCTCAGTCTCTGCGGGCATGGTGGCGGTAGTGTGGTAAACCACGCCAATGTCAAAGTCATCAGCCAGCTGGCGGAAGTATGTAGTGTTGTACTGGACCCCACCACCCATCACGGTATTTGCGGCGGCTAGTCCAAGAAGGTGGTTGAGACGAACGTCCATGTGGGCATCATCGTAGAAAACAAAGTCTGCCGGGTCGCTGCAGCTACCCCTATCAGTGATACAAGCGCCGGTAGTATTTTTGGCGCCAATATCCTGGGCAAACGTCATGTTGGCTGTGGTGAGCAAAAAGGCTTCAATGTCGAGCATCCACAGTTTAGTATCCTTTTCGCGTTGTTGCTCGGCAAGCAGCATTTGGCGAAACAGCTGGTTTGTCTGGACCACCAGTACACGTAGTGCATCGACGCTGGCCAAGAGTCGCCACCGCGGCATAATGTAGAGGGCAGGTAAATTCGTGACAATTATGGCTTTGAATGCTCCCAGTTTTTCCAGGGCCCGTACTTGTTCAAATACATGGTCGACTAGGGAACGTGAAAACCCCTGGTCCCCCGCCACTGTTTGGTTTAAATGTTCGGCGGCCCATTGGATCACGTCGGTTGTACCGGAACTGACCACGGCTATACTGCTGTGCACCCCGGCTTTGCGTCGAATCCAGTCTCGCTCTTTCTCGGTAAACTCCATCACCTGTGCATCCAGACCCTGGCCAATGCCGCTTTGTGCTGGGTGCCAGTCGGCGTTTACTATGGATTGCGCGTACGCGTAGCTTTTGTGCTTGAGGCCCAATGCCGTTGCCATGTATTCCCCGAATGTTGGGCCGTTGGTCAGCCGGCCTTCACCATACCCAATGCTGCTGTCATTTAGTAGCTGCCGCAGGTTGCCTGTGTCCCCGAGGTCGTCGCCAAACATAACCACCTGGCCTTTGGTTTCCGATATACCCCCGGCCCTTGCGCCAAGAACCGGTGCCAGTATATATACCCAGGACAGCTGCACCATCGCTCCCCCAAACAACAACGAGAATAAAGAAAAAGCAAAAAGTACAAAAAGGGGAGGCACTCTATGTAGATGGATTATTTGGCAGAATAAAAGAGAGCTTATCTCTCTTTTCTTTCTCCCATTCTCTTATTCTCTTATTCTTTATCAGCTAACCGG